GGTTTCATCGCCATGGCCTGGGGGCAAGTTAATGTGATGTTTATCCCAAAGCCTGGGAAACTTGATTATACCGAGGCTAAGGCTTGTCCTATTAGCCTGTCGTCTTTCTTGTTGAAAACGATGGAGAAAATAGTGGATAGGCATATCAGGGACGGGATGTTGAGGACATACCTCTACACCGAAACCAGCATGCCTACCAAACAGGTAAATCTACCGAAAGTGCACTACATAATGTGGTAACACGCATAGAAAGTGTGAGTGAACACAAGGATATTGCCTTAGGAGCATTCCTTGACACAGAGGGAACTTTCGATAGAATATCACTTGATATAATCAAACAGGCCACTGGGAAGCATGTCATAGAGCCTGCAATATGCAGGTGGATCATTGCTATGCTGGAAAGCAGAACCATAGCTGCCACATTATCAGGAGAGACCCTGGGAGTGTTCGCGCCTAGGGGTTGTCCGCAGGGGGGCGTGGTCTCACCTCTGCTGTGGGGCCTGGTCATCGACGATCTCCTGTGGGGACTTAATGATGATGGGTATTATACAGTAGGAAATGCTGATGTCATACCAATCCTCATAAATGGAAAAATCCTTTTGACCGTATCAGAGTGTCTTCAAACAGCTCTGTACATTGTCCAATGATGGTGTGAAAGAACAAGTCTTTCCATCAATCCCAATAAGACGGTAATTATACAGTTTACTAGGAAGAGAAATATGAAGGGCCTTAAGGAACCAACTCTCTTCAATAAGACAATCCAGCTCTTCAGCGATGTCAAGTACCTTGGTCTAGAATTAGACAAGGGACTGACATGGAAAAAGCAGCTGGGCAAGGTCATTAACAAAACCTATAAGGTTTTTTGGACATGCAGAAGCATGTGGACTGCTGTGGCACATTGTGCATTGGATATACGTGGTGTGTTCAAACAGTATCGAACCTTCTTTTTTCCCGCGTAAACAAATGAAGCGCGAGAGGTTCCCTTCGGTGGACATGTGGAGGGGACATTCATGTGCAGTCGTCAATTTTTGACCACACACAGAAAGCGTCAGTCGCTGGCAGTCGGCCTATGAGTGAGGACATGTAGTGAGCGCTTGTCAGATTCCAGTAAGGTGTAAAATGACGGAACAACATGAGCAGCGATATTGCATCAAATTTTGCCAAAAGCTTGGCGATACCCAAGTGGAAACCATTCGCAAGATTCAACAGGCTTTCGGGGACGATGCCATGAGCAACTCACAGATATAGGAATGGTACAACCGCTTCAAAGATGGCCGCACATCAGTGAACAGCGAACCGCATTCAGGCAGACCCTCAACATGCCGAAATGAGAATGTCATTGAGCAAGTGCGAACTTTGGCCATGGAGGACCGTCGTATCACAGTCCGAGAACTTTCGAACGAGACAGGGGTACGCACTGGATCGGTACATTCAATTTTGACTGAGGATTTGGGCATGAGGAGAGTGTCTGCGAAATTCGAACCGAAACTGCTAACAATGGAGCAGAAGCAAAGCCGTCTGGAAATCACAAAGGACATGCTGGACAATGCAAACAGTAACCCCAACTTTCTGAACACCGTGATCACAGGCGATGAGTCGTGGGTTTATGGGTACGACCCAGAAACCAAGATGCAGTCGTCACTGTGGAAACATCCAACATCCCCGAGGCCAAAAAAAGCATGGCAGGTCCGCAGCAATGTCAAGGTCATGTTGGCCGTTTTCTTCAAATCCTGTGGGGTTGTGCATCATGAGTATGCACCACAAGGTCAAACCATCACAAAGGAATACTACCAGGAGGTTCTTCGTCACCTTCGTGATGCTGCGCGGCGCAATCGACCAGATCTGTGGGCAGCAAAATCTTGGCAGTGCCATCATGATAACCGGTTCTCACGGTCTCTTCGCTTGCAGATTTCTTATATTTTTTCTTCTACCCTGAAGATGGAGGTGATACGTTCCTCCAAAACGTCTGTTAACACCACATATACACGGTGCCAAATCCCAGAAGACTGCTTTCTTCAAAGCAGCAATCGTTGCAGTTGGAGAGTACCACAATCACCAAGAGCAAGAAAGGTTCAGCAGGTTCAGAGTTCAACAAAGAGCATGCTCAGTTTTCTTCGACATGAAGTGGATTGTTCACCATGAACTATGATCAACTCTGACTTTTACTGTGACGTTTTTGGAGGCCTGAGAGGTAATGTGTGATGAAGAAGATGGGAACACTGGCGCAACCACAACTGGCTCCTTCATCGTGACAATGTGCCTGCCCACACATCCCTGAAAACCACAGTTTGTGTCTAATAACATCACTGATATCATTCTCCATCCTTCCTACTCACTGGACTTAGCCCCCTAGAAATTCACTTTGTTTCCCAAATTGAAAATGAAACTGAAGGGGCGAGATTCTGAAACAATGCCCGATATCCGAAGGGTATTGCATGTGGTACTCAACAGCATTAAGGAAAATGACTTCCATGGTGATTTTTAACACATTAAAGACCGGTCGCATGATATCATGCTTTTTGCTTTTAAACGTGGTGGACCGGCCATATGACATCATGATTTTAGGACACATTAGGTTGCAACACACTATACCTTGCTCTTTTGCCACACAGCTATATGGGCAGTAAGCAATAAAACTCCAGAATGTTTGCTTGGTATTCAGTAACATGACCTCGCTGCCCACTCTAAAGAAATATGCTTTGCCTGTCTTCAAGTTGTATGTATCAGCCAGTAGTTAGAGGTGGAGTATGGATCAAGGACAAATTCTTCTCTGATGAGCTAGCTTATGTGCCTTGTGAGACACATAGTGATGGTGACTCAGACAGTGGCAGTGACAGGGGACAACAAAGATTTGTGGCCACAGATAGTAAAAGTGACAGTAGCTCCGATGAAAATGTGGGTAGGACCATTGCAAAAAATAAAAAAAAAATTATAAAAATCTAAACCCTAATTCAAAATTGAAATACAAAGCATTTCTGATGAATGTGGCAAAGGCCTAGGCTACAGACCAGATGGTGGCAGCAGAACCAGAGTCAGACACAGACTTAGTACAGCCGGGCCCATCAACTCCCACCCCACACAGGCCTCATGTGGACCCCCCAGGGCGACTTTCAGGTGATATGCGGAAATTTACCCTCATGAAAATTGTGAAGAGTGAACATTCCAAGGGGAAGCATCCTTCTAGGCCAGGGGTCTCCAAACTTTTCGAACCGCGGGCCACATTAGGTAATTCAGCACTTTCAACGGGCCAGATAAGATGAGAAATTAATAACTCTAGGTATATGAGTTTTATTGAAAGCACAGAATTTGATAAACTAAATACAAAGTACGTGAGAATAAATTATCGTATATTAATGACAACAGACAGTAGCAGCAAATGCTCATATTCTCATCACAAATTATAATAAAACAATTAATATGAATGATGGAACTCTTTTTGCATTCTTAAAATCTGATTAAATTGAGGTTCAAATTTTGAAATGCTTATCACAAGTAGCAACTTTAAAGGTTCATCGCGATAAATTTGCCCTGTATTTCGACTTGATGTACTTCATCTGGGAAAAATGTTTGTTCACACAGATATGTCATCGCAAAAATGGAGATAAATTTACAAGCAAATTTCTTTAAATTTGGAAATTGCTCAGAGTTCAGAAATTTATAAAATTTGATCGAACTCCCTTCCTTGTATTTGTCTTTAATATGATATTTTCCTGACGTTCAATAATTTCCATTTCAATTTGGCTTGGGACATCTGCAGCATCACAGTCAAACGGATTTTGAAACAATCTAATTTCCTGAGCACTGGAATCCAAATCAGCAAATCGCTTCCGAAATTGTTCTTTCAAATCTGAAATGACTAAATCTGCAAACGAGGAAGGAAATTCTGCTTCACCCTTTTTATGCAACTCTGCACAGTATAGCATATGAACAAAGTTACAATTTTTCACTTGGCTTTCCAGAAGTATCAACTTTGCTCTGAATGCCTTGATAAGTGCCAATAAATCACAGACTAAGTTATTTTCACCCTGCAACTTTAAATTCAAATGGTTCATATGGTTCACCAGATCAGAAAAACTGCTAATTTCCAAAGCCACTTGGTATCTGATAAAAGTGGTTCGTGATGGTTTTTCTCGGTAAGGAATATATCAATTTCATTCCTGAGCTGAAAGAAGCGCGAAATAACCTTTCCACAGCTAAGCCATTGAACTGCAGTATAATATGTCAGGTCAATGAGCTGGGAATCACATTTACTAGTACTCACTGGAAAATTAGTTCAATTGGCGCATTTCTGCACAATTCTTTCACGGGCTCGATAAAATCACGTCGCGGGCCATAGTTTGGAGACCCTTGTTCTGGACAATGCCATGTTTGCACAGTTCACAAAAAAAGGAATATGTCTACATTGCAAGTTCTGTGTAATGCCACTTCACAAAGGGGAATGTTTCCTGAAATATCACGCTCCCAAGCACTTCTAGGAGCATTGGTAAGTGTTCTCCAAACATTTTAGTTCATAAAATTAATTAGGAGATTTTATATTAATTTTTAAAGTGAACAGTGCACAAGTTAGGATAGTAGGTTTAATAATGCCGGTCCCCAGGGTGATTTAAATATTTCAATCGCTGGTCCGCATTGCGTTAAGTGTGGAAAAAATGATAGGATCACTGTATATGTTTCAAGGAGACAATTTTGAAGGAGATGACAGCCAAAATTGAATAAGTTAAGCCAGCATTTCTTTTTTGACCTAGTCCAGGAACTTTCTGATTAATCATATTTATCGTCTTTGTAACTCAATCTTTCATTTTCATGCAGTCGGTTCAGTTATAAAATTATTCATGAGATATGTTTTACTTCCGGTGAATTCCACTATTGCAGTAAGTTAATTAAAGCATCATGAACTGGAAGTTAAGGATAAAACACTAACTTGAAACTAACTGATTCATAGATTAGATAGACTTTACATTATTCTACACAATTATAATTTTGAGAAACCTATGCCTTACTTTCTTCCGCAGAGGATATTGTGATTGTTCCCAACAATAAGCAACTTCTTCCTCATTGAAGTGATTTATTTTGTCCAATGCATTCTGGATGCGTGCATCCAAGTGCTGTACCTTTTTCAGATATTTGGGTAAGTCTTCTAAGTTGCCATACGTCTTAAATTCATCCAGTTGCTTTTCATAAGACTCCAAATCCTCAATAAACTTCTTAATTCGGACCTAAAGGTAAATTTGCACAAATTACAGCAACAAAAGTAAATGTATGTATCATCTAAATCACTTATTTATGAGATATTTTCATGTAAATAGTTGGATTTATTTAAGACTTTCAAGATATAAATATTGTATGTGTGCCATACGCACTCTTAGAAACTCCTGGTATTCAGTTGTTTTCTGTTCAACTATTAAGCGATGTTCATCAAAAATAGATGGCATGCGAAGGTACCACTGGAAAGTGGTACAGTTCTGTTTCACTTCAACTGGAGTAAAAGTGGTGTAATCAGCAAGAAACAGCATGTATTTGCAAATCTCTCGCAATCGACCCTCCATCAAGAATACAGTTTCATTCTCCACTTTTTGTACATATACTATGAAATCCATGAGTTCTGCTGTATTGGTAGGAGGAGTTAGTGCTTTGTTCGCTATGTCCTCATACTCTTCTCCAAGTCTGTAACATACACATATACTCATATAAATTATGCTGTAAGATTGTTGTAAAACATGCACATGGATTTCATAAAACACAATAAGGAAAATCTTACTTAGAGGATATCTTTAATAATAAATATTTTTCACATAAATAAATCGCCAAGTTGTGTAATGATTAATATTATAGTTCCCCAGTATAGTTTGCTTGCAGACTAAAGCCACAGAGTTTCTTTGTAGAAGCAAAGTAGGTGCCATGAGTTCTCAGAATTGCTTTCAGCCATGAATTATGAATGGAAGACTCCTATAATTGCTTCATACTTCAAGAAAGTGAGTCTTGCTATAATGTTAGAAATTATAAATATCACATCAGGCTTATATATTGTGGCAGATTGGGCCATTTCTAGGAGACGAATATGTAAACATGTTCCAAGCAACAAATGCACAGTAGGGCATCAATTGCTGGGCAACGCATGGGTGGACACGCCTTTTGGTGGGTAGTCCGTGCCGAGCCTATATAGGGAGCAATGAACACTGTTCGAGAAGATTCAACAGGAAGATGTCGATATGGGAGAAAAGCAGGGTGGAGGTCAGGTCAGTGATCAGCAAGAGGAGAACAGATAGAAGCCTTCACGTGACATAGTTACAAGGAACATTAGAGTGTGTCCATTGTTCGTGGTTACGAAGTGTTATAATTATCGTGTGTGATAAATGTCTGTAGTGCTGCCTGGCATACTTATCCAATAAAACATCTCCGTCAAATCAGTAATCCATAATTATTTGTCATGTACAATATTAATGAATTCCAAAGTGTGTATAAAATTTCCAAGCGGAAAAAAAAATAGTTTTTATAGTGGTACACCATAGTCCATATCATTCAACAGGGACAAAGATCAGTTTTGATAAACTTCAGTAATGGCCTAGAATAATACATTTACCGCAAAGTTAACTAAAAACAATAGAACTATTTCATACTTACAGAACTACAGAAAATAAGTATTGTTCTATATTCAACTTACTGTTTGCACAAGGCTTGATAATCATGTGTCATTCGAGCCAGCAGCTGATCTCTCAGATCCTGTGCCTGTCTGACCATAGTCTGGATCAGATCACCACGCCGCATCTCGTACATCCCCATTCTCACAACATGTTCAGCTCTACATGGTATCTCCTGAGCTAGCTCATGATACTTCAGAATCAGTGGAACAAAGTCTTCAAATGGGTGCTCTGCAGAGAAGAACTTGTCCAGTTCCTCCTGGGCCTGCATGTTAGGAAGACAGTACTAGAAAATACTTATAGTACAGATGGTACTGAGTACTTTCACAAAATATTACTCAACACTATTCACGAAAAGTGGAATGATCTGAACATATGTAGCTCAGAGGAACAAATCATCTCCATCTTCTGGGTCAAAGAATAGGCCACACAAGAAAGCAGCAGAAGCAGGAAACAAGCTGAGACAAATTCAACATTCAACTTCTATGTTCTCAATGGAATCTACTGCTGTCTATGAATAACACATATCCATACCATCATACCCTTAATTTGGCCAGATTTTCTTACGTTTCTCTACTTCCAAATCTGGTTTATATCCTGATTTTAGAGTTGATTCCTTGTTATTCTTTTCTGTAATCTCTGTAGAATGTCTCTTCCTGTAATCAGCTTATATCTTCATACAAGGCCATGTTTCCATTCTTAAGACAATCCCATCAACATGCACTTATAATTCCACTGACGAGGGATCCTATGACAAAGCCTCTGTCTACCATTTTGTGTCCTCCAATAAACATTTATTTTGTATATTTGTACAAGTAGGTACCAGCCATTATCACCAAAGGGGAACTAGTCAACTGCCAATCACCAGCTTTTTTGAAAGAAGAAATACCAAATCCATAAAGGAAAGAAATATACCAAATACAGGGAGATCGAAAAGTCACACACATCAAAGTAAAAGTTGTTATAAATTCTATTGCAGTTAACACAATTATATCTCCTACTGCTAGATGGTATTATAGGAGTACTAAAAACGAACAGAAACACCATCTGTCATGTATCGGTCATAAGACATCTGCAGTATAGCTTTGTTTATTGCATGACAGACATGTCTTTTCCCAAGAACGAGTTTTCATTGTCCAACATTATTTCGCCAGGGAATTGAAGAGTTTGATCGGGTTTTCTTCACTGACAAAGCGTGGTTTCACCTTAGTGGCTACATGAACAGTCAAAACAATAGGATTTGGTCATCTGAAAATCCACATGTGTTACATGAAAAGCCCTAGCACTGTCAGAAAATTGGAGTGTGGTGTGCTCTATCATGTCATAGAATAGTGGGCACAATTTTCTTTGAAACAACAGTGATCAGTCCAGTGTACCAATACATCATTACACAGTTTACTGCACTCCTTGAAGTTGATGAACGTGAGTGTTGGTTGCAGCAAGACGGTGCCGCATGTCACACAGCTAATGAAACCGTGCAGTTCTTGCATGAGTTTTTCAGTGACTGTCTCATTTTGAAAGGATTGTGGCCCATGCGTTCGCCCGATTTGTCACCCGCAGATTTTTTCCTTTGCGGGTACCTCAAAGGAACTGTCTATAAAAACAATCCGCATACACTGGATGACCTCAAGAGGAACATTATGATGGCAATTAACAGCATCACTTTATAGGTGCTCCACAAAGTGGCCTCAAACATGGTAAAAAGAGCTCGCACATGCATTGCTGAACAGGGAAGCCATTTTGAGCATGTGTTGTAAAGACATGATTTGATTTTGCATTTCTAAGATGTAAGGTTATAAGCATTAATAGTAAGTGCTGTATGTCTTGTAGTTTGTGCATTAAACCAGCAAAATATACAATGGGGTACCCAAAAGAAACCGAACAAATTTTTTTGTGGGCAGAGCTTTTGTACTACCGCATTTTGCCGCTATGAGCACATAGAGCTAACATTCCTGAGTCGATAAGCCGACTACCGTTGCTTCAGAAGGTAAGGACTAGTTTCGGCAGAGTTTATAGTGACAACTGTTTTGTGTGATCGTCGTTTTTGCAATGGCTAATTTTCGTGAACAGCGTGAGGCGGTGAAATTCTGCTTTTTGCTCGGGAAAAGTGGAACAGAAACTCTTGAAATGTTAAA